TTCGTTTTTCTCCCTGCTTGTGGATTTTTTGATAATATCTCCCAGTATGTCCGCAGTGATAGAGTAAATGATGAAAATGAACCATTAGGGCTCATACAAGTTACTTCGGCTTGACTTGTTTTTACTTGTTAATGCAACTTTATAATAGGTGAACGATCAACTGTCTTAGTTCCTGTTCAACAAGATTCAGAAATCTATCAAGCGGCCAGTTGTCACCCAACAGCGTTTCGCATTTTGACAATGCATAGTACTGTCGCAGAATGTACCGCTTTGCGGTTGCCAAATGGAAATCGATAGCGTCCGTATAATCCACCTAAATTCCCCTTCCAGCAGATAGCAACTTAAATCTAGTATCCTGAGGCCCAGAAGGGAAGATAGTTCATAATGAGGTTCATGATAGCATCTGATACAAAAAATGTGGCAACACCGGTTGGAAATACGTCCGACTATTCACCACAGACACAAACAAGATTCGGGTATTTAAGTGTAAGTCACGTAGACTGTGTACATCGCACGGGAACAGCATTCCAAGCAAGTGCGACGAATAGTACGGAGAGATCAAGTAACTCAAATGTGCTCTGGGAGTGGGTCGATGCCCACCTGCCCTTCATTCATCATGGACTAATGTTCTACAGCAAAACGATGGGTCAGAATGGAGGCTAGTAGGTTTGTCACTACCGACATCAAATTGAAATCGATATACATAGTTTGAACTTTGAGCCTGCTCTTGCTAAAGAATACCAACCCCTTAGATTTGATTCAGTTGGCGTATGATGGACTTCGCTAGGTTTCTGTTCACAGATGTGAGTTACACGTTTACCGAGGAGCTGTATAACATCATCAAATAACGAAGGCACTAAAAGTCAGAACCATTAACGTGAAGATGGTCAAAAGATGCATCTTCATTTCAAAACACAGATTCAGTCACAGGCATTAGGTAGACATGAAATGTTTCAACCTACCCCCCTTATACACGAAACTATACAAAATCAGCGAGTCAAGCAATAATTCACTTGGTGCTCTACAGTTCGAAACTGGTAACTGATGCGATCCCTTATTATTTGGCTTCTGGTTGATGACTTCGGCCCGGTACCCATTTTAGTTGAGGAACATGTTACACCTAGATTAGTTGAATTCTCTTAGAGCCCCATCGTTCTTAGTCTGCAAGTCCTGTGCCAGTGCGTACCTAGTAGTTTACACTGATAGACACTATGGGGATGCATCGCTTCTGTTCCAATACATTCAGCAAATCCATTCAAGGAAGTCATAGGTTCATAGGATCATAGGATGGTAGAGAGCAGAAGGCGAAATCATTTGTCAGCTTCATGGCTTCCCGATCATTGTGTGGAGGAAGCGATTCGATGTTAAACGGTAATCCACAAGGGACCTTGACAGCTACACTGGAAGCTGCAAGGGCCCATCGTACTCAAAAGAGAAGAATCTAACATTCGCTTAAAACATTCCTCAGTCTGGGCATCGACCACATGTTTCGGCAAGGTGTTCCAATCGTTGACTACGCAAGTTGATAGAGCGAGAGCAGGATGAACCCGGAGTCTTCTAGGTTTAAAAAGTTTTCAGTTTTGGCCTCGACCTGAACTGTTTGCATTGGATTGAAAGCACACATGCAGCTCCCGCCCCCATTATCGCCGACGACGGCGATAATCTTGGGAGAACAGATTCATCCGCTGAAGTCTCAGAGGATAAGGCAAGTCCCGTACCTCCAAGGTGTGTTTCGATCCCCGCCGTTGGACCTTCTCAATGAGGTCACATTCGAACTTGGTGAGAGGAAGACGGCAGGTAATCCGTATTCGAGAATGGGGCGGACATGGGAAGTAAACAATAGTCGGAAGATATCCGGAGTCAAACGAGAGAAGGCTCTTCGTATGGCATGGGACATCCTGTTGGCATCAGCAACCCTTCGTAACGTGTCCTGTGTAGTCCGTAGATCAGATGCCACCAACACGCCGAGGTCTTTTTCAAGGATTGAGGTTCTGAGCAACGCCCCACCAATGTGGTACGTCCCGAAAGGCTCAGGAGCACCAATGGGGAGGACCGAGCACTTATCGCGATTTATGGGCAATCGCCATTTGACTGACCACTCATGTAACGTATCAAGTGAAGCCTGTAATCGGTCCGCCTCGTCAAGACAGGATACTTCCATCCACAATTTCAAGTCGTCAGCGTAAATCAAGCAATCCAACTGAAGTTCCGACTGGAGGTCATTGATGAAGATCTTGAAAAGTTCTGGGCCCAGGACCGATCCCTGTGGGACACCGCTAGTCATGAGCACAGGAGCGGAGTAAGTCTCGTTCACGTCGACTTGCATTGTCCGGGCATCCAAAAAATCAGCGATCCAAGAGAGAACGTTCCCAAAAACATCTATTTCTCGTAGTTTATAAAGGAGCCTTTAATGAGGAATCTTGTCAAAGGCTTTGCTGAAGCCGACAAATATAACATCCAGACGTTTCCCAGCGTCTAATGATTTCGTCCATCTTTCGCGGACCACAAGCAGATTCGAATAACTGGAGCGCGCCCGCCGAACACTATGCTGTGCACAAGAGGTGATGTTTAGGTTCTCGAGGTGGAGAAGAAGTGCCCGCTTGAGAATCCTCTCCATTACCTTGCACAATATTGACGTTAAACAGATGGGTCGATAATTGGCAGGGTTTTGACGATCCGCTCCTTTGTGTATGGGTTTAACAATCCCCACTTTCCAAGCGATCGGGAGCCGTTCAACTTCAAGGGAATGGCGAAATACCCGGCAAACAGGAGCGGCAATGTAATTGGCCACAGGCTTGAGGAACAGCGGATGCAACCCATCAGGACCCTGCGAGGAGTTCGGATTTAATTCACGAATGCCTTTGGCAACAACATCAACGCTCATTTTTACATGCTCCAAGGAAGAAGGGAGGCTTGGCACCGCGTCACTGGGAAACGGCGTCTCCATCGAGTAAACAGATGAATATCGCATGGCCAGGAGACTGGCTTTCGCAGCACCATCGTCAAGTAAACCCACATGCGCCAAGGAATACAGAGCAGGAATACCACTTCCTGCTCTGGTACTTCTCTTCAGGTAAGAGAAGAGTGCCTTGGGAGTTGTCTTGGATTGCACAGCCAAACCGAGTTCGTACTTTTGTCGTTTCTCTCGTTTTTTCAAGTTGCAGATATTCCTGGCCCCTTTATATTCCGAATAGTCAGACTCGGATTGCGTGAGCTTGAATCGGACCCACTGTTTCCGTCTTTTGTTCATTAGGCAACTCAGTTCTCGATCAGTCCATAGAGGACCTCTTGCAAAAGATTTTTTGTAGACAGGAACGACCTGCTCAATGAGCGAAATCATTTTGGAGTACAAGTGGTTCCACTCATCGTTTAAATCCAGGGGTTCGGGTATACTCCAGTCCACAGTACTGGCGGCCGTTTGTAAGCGTTGGGGATCAACACGCCAGAAATTTCTGCGGAGGCGACTTTGGTTGTGGAGAGTAAGAACGGCTAGGCCGGTGACATCTGGTTGTGTCGGACGCAGTAATATTCGATAGCGCCACAAGCTCGCGGGTCAATCATGATAAAGTGGAATTCAATTCAACTGAAATAGTACTTTCTCAGCAGTATTTCGGGCAAGTTTGTTGCACTAGGCTTTAGGTAGTCCTGCCTAATTTTAGACGGAGACAAATTATCGGTTGCCAATGTAGCGAATGGTTACTGTGTTTATATGTATATAAGTTGGCATCAAAGAGCATATAGTGATCAAGGTAAACAAGTGTGCTAAAGATGGCGACAAGCAAAGTTGCAATCATTTAATTCGGAGCCTGTAATGACATGTCGGAGTGGGATCCACCACCGGCCGGTGTCCATCAGCGTCTATGGAATTCAATAGAAGTGGAGAGTAGAAACAACCGAACTTAATTCGCAGATCCAGTAACTGTCCACTAGTACCGATACTTCCGGATTAAAGCCAGAACGGCCAGTAAAGAGGAGATTCCAAAGATTCAGACAGTCTGCTCCTCTGTCGTTTCACAAGACAGCTGGTCAATCCGTGCAGTCTGAAATACTCATTTCAACGCACTGAAGACCTCGATTCGATCAACCTGTCAGATATGATCATGTGTTCCTTAGATGTGGAATCACTCTTCACTAATGTTTCTCTACATGAGACGGTGGATTATATAGAGGAACTAGCTGGACACTTGGGCTGTTCATTGCCGATTCCGGCCGAATTACTAAGAGATTCCTTGAAGTTGTGCACAGAGAATGTTGATTTCCACTTTCGGAACACGCCACACCGCAAGGTCGATGGAGTGGCAATGGATAGCCTATTGGGCCCTTTACTGGCGGATTTCTTTATGCTCAAGGTCGAGAAAATATGTCCACGGAGATATACCAGCTGTCATACTACAGGCGCTATGTTGATGACATCTTGGCTTTCTGTCCATCAGAGCAGCACATCGCTCAGTTGGTAGAGGGCTTCCCACGTGCGCGTCACGTGCGAGCTAGAAAGAGAAAATTATTTGCTATCCTTGAGTCTTTTCAACAGTCGCAGAGGTAGCGGGTAGGTTAGGAGATCTGGCTAGCGAAAGGCAACATGTTCCGGTCAGTACCTGCATCTCACAAGCTTTACACCAGTGCGGCACAAGTGGACAGGTGTGAAGCTCTTATTTATTCGTGCCAGACGACTATACTCGGCAGACTGTCTAAACGATGAGTTGGAACGAATTACAGCCAAACACATGTTAAATGACTACCCTCGAGGGTTTATAGAGAAGCACAGCTAGCCACGAAGACCAAAGAAGAAACTTTATACCGAGTTACTTTTAAGGGTGAGTTCGTCACGCTAGAGGCCACTAAGCATTTGATTGCTGCTGCGCACGGGACCTACTATGTTGCTCAGGTCGTCATCATCAACCGAGCCAGCAAGCTGCCAGTACGTCATCCGAAGCAAGCTCTGTCAATCGGCACCAGCTCTCATTGTGTATACCAATTCACGTGTAACTGCGGAGCAACTTACATTGACAGAACTGAACGAGCGTTGTCTTCCCGGATGAAATAAGACGTGCCGAAGTGGATCCTGCGTCGGATAAACGAACAGCCTCATTCTCTCAAGCACTGCCGTTTCGTAAGCCGGCATTCTCGATAGATAAACACCTATTGATTACTGGTCACAGGATCCGGCTCGATACCGCATTCAAATGTTTGCTGCGACAATCTAATCCGCGATTTCATCGGTTCGCTTAAGCTATCGCGATCACTCGAATGCCGCCAACACTGAGCGTACACAAACAGTTATTTGTCAGCCTCAGGCTTCCGTGGAAATGAAGATCCAATCGTTCTCATTTATCGTGATCGCCAAGATTGTTTCTTTGTTGGTCACATCCGCCGTTTGTTATTGTTATTGGTACTGAAGAGACAATACGAATTGCTTGCATCTGACTTCTTGCCGTACTTTTCAAATTGCTGAAAGAAATTAGTTGCTTTCAGAATAATATCACTTTTGCGTATTGTGACAATTTGGAACTAAAGTCATATCTTATGTCTATTTACAAACTAGTACATAATACGCCCTCATACCATCACGTCACCGCTCCCATCAGGTTAACGGCAGCGAATATGAAATCGATGTTAGGCTTAGTGATCACCGGCGAAGAGCTCATGGTTGATGGACTAGAGGTGTGGAGTCCTTTAAGTCGGAGCAATCATGTTACTGTGTTGTCTACCCCCATTTGCTACTTTAAGTGTCTCGATGCAGAGCATGAGCGAATGGAATGATGGTGTAAAATAATACTGGTGACATATCCCGTGGAATGAAAAGATTTGAGAAAAGGAAAATGATAAAATGAAAAGCGTTTTTCTGGAATCATCATGGTGTTCGCGTTGAAGCATGCGTAAAAGTCCGAGAGGTTAACATGATAATACGCATAAATGCACCTGGTTATAAATTCGGAAACGAATCGCTTCATTGCCTTATGTAGCATTCTGGTTAAACGGATAAGCAAATAGGATAATATTTCCTCAAGTCGTTTATTAAATACCATTAGAGTGTAGAAACAACAGGCTGAGATAGCAACCCATGGCTAAAACACTCGAAGGGAGAAGAGATTGCAAATACATTCCAACCAGCTATACAGCATGACCATATTTGGACGAGGACCTTTTATATTGGCACCGTGGTTCAGTCCCAGCAGCGGGCGGTAGATGTGGAGTGGGTTCCTCAGGATATGGAAATTATTATGAGGTCCTTTCGTAATCATCCACATTGACTGATGTACATTCCTATGGATTTACTCTAAGCTGGGATGGAGAGTTCAAGTCGGGTTGAGGCTTGTGGTGGCTAGATTCTGACAGGTCGTCCACCCACGGCTGTCAATATTGTGCCGTGGACTCATGTCCTGGATGTGATGGTAATATCAAATCTGAGTGAACACATGAACCAACCGAGCAAGCTGGACAGCCAATGGGTGTGGGCGTGACGGATTCGATTACTAACCTCGAATTGACCGAGGTTCGTGTGAATGAGTCACCGTTTGTTTAACTGAAGCAAAGGAACATGCCTCATAGACTCAGAAGGGTTGTTAGTTATGGACTTGAGCATGCAATTTATATCGAGGGGTTTTGCTTGCCAAACATGTAATTTTCGCTCACTTGACTTTGTTGAATAAACGCTGGTCTCTGAAGGACTTGGTTCTGCAACATGTTGTCAGTGAAGAAAAAGGCGAACCCCACCGGTAGCGCTCCGATGCTGTTTGCGTCACCAGCGTCTATTCAGCTACCTGCCCCATTGAACATGGATGAACGGAACTTGGCGATTGATTGGTGTCTGTGGAGAAGCAAGTGGATGGAGCTCTGCACCCTAGTACGTTTGGACGAGAAACCGATGGCTTATAGTTTGGCCATGTATTGACACGCAGCCGGAGATGACGCGCGCCGAGTGATAGAAACATTGCAATACCAACAGAGACGAAGACCCCAATAATTTGGAGACGGTCATTGAAAGTTCAATGTATTTTGCGAAGGCCAAACCAACGAGATCTACCAGCGCTAACTTTTCTTTTCGCTTAATAGGGGCCTAGAGGAATCCGTCGACGCGTACATCACTGAGTTGACAATTTTGGCCTGATGCTGCAATTTCTGTAAATGTATGGACGACAGTCTCACGCGGTCTCGGATATTTCTAGGAATTAATGATGAAAACACGACAGAACGGCTTTTGTGATAACGTAATTTTTCACTCCAGCAGTGTAGCAATATTTGCAACTGTGAGTTCTCTAGCAGCTATCAGTACCAGTAAATGAAACCCGCAACTGATACAGAATTCTGTGCCGTTTCCGGATGCGACGCAGCGAAGGCTACTAACGTGAGACAGGAGATTTGCAAATTTTGCGCCGCACGACACCCGAGCTCCCGCGAACAGTGTCCGGCATGGGGTCGGAGATGCGCCAAATGTGGAAAAAGGAACCACTTTGCTCGTTGCTGCCAATCAACCAATGTGAGTGCGGTCGTTCGTGACAAGTCACCCGCAGATGCAGAACATTCAATTGGCAACGTGTCTCGGAGGGTGCCGCAAAAATGTGTCTACACAAGTCTTTTGATCGAAGGCAAAGCCGTACGATTCCAGTTGGACACAGGAGCTACTGTCAACATTCTACCAAGGAAGCACTGTCCCGGAGTGTGCATTCGATCCGATCAAGATTGCCTGCGTATGTGGAATGGTTCCAGACTTCATCCGAAGGGCTCAGCTACAATCGAAGTGGTTAACCCAAGAGACGGAGCCTCACATCGACTGGAGTTTGTGATCGTGGAGGAGGAGCTCACGCCGATTCTCGGCATTGATTCGATCCAGTCTCTCGGTTTGTTGTTTTTAATCATGATCGTTTTGTGCATGCTTGCCAGGGAGAAACCGATATTAGTGACCCGTATCCGTCTGTGTTTAGCTCAGGTTTTGGAAAGTTTGCGGGAACCGCTCACTTGTCCTTAGATCTTTGATACGACCGACAGCGCTACCAGCTAGGAGAGTTGCATTTGCACTGCGTGACAGGTTCTCCGCTGAATTGAGCAAATTAGTGAGAGAAGGTGTGATTGCCAAAGTCGACGAGCCAACCGACTGGGTTAGTCAGGTCGCAATCATTACGAAGAAGACGGGCGAACTGCGTGTGTGTATTGACTCAAAACCGTTGAATGAGGCCTTGCGTAGAGAGCATTACGCGCTACCTACCCTAGAAGACATTTTGCCGCGTTTGGCCAAAGCTAAGTGTTTCACGAAGGTAGACCTCTCTTCGTATTCTGGTATGTGGTTCTAGATGACGAAGCCAGTTTCCTTACAACCTATGCAACACCGTTCCGGCCTTAACGTTAGCTGCGTTTACCGTTTGGTTGGAAGATGTCGAGTGAAATTTATCAAAAGCGATTGGTGCAAGTGGTAGACAATGTAGATGGTGTAACATGCGTGTCAGACGATGTTGTGATCTTTAGCTCGACAGAAGAATGATATGAGGCTAATCTCCCCCGTTTATTACAGCGTTGTGTGCGAAAGAGCCTCAAGCTTAAACGTGAAAAATTTGAACTTCGGAAAGACGAGGTGCATTTCCATGGGCATTTGCTAACAACCCAAGGGGTCAGAGTTGATCCAGGAAGAATTAAGCCAAATCGAGAGATGCCGCCAACTAACAACGTGAAGGGAATCCATCGCTTAAACCGCATGGTGCAATAGTTGAGCCATTTTATTCCAAGACTCACTGATATCATGAAGCCGATCAGGAAGTTAACTCACAAAGGAGTAAAGTGGAGTTGGGAACAAGAACAGGGAACCGCACTCGAAACTATTAAGCATTTCAGCAGCAACGCTTCTGTATTTGGGTATTAGGATCCAGCGCAGCATTTGGTGGTACAGTGTAGCAGTACCCAAGACGGAATGGGTGCTTTTCTCTTACAGTATGGAAAACCTTTGGAGTTCCGAAGTTGAGCACTCACCATGACCGAGCAGCACTTTGCGCAGATTGAGAAGGAGATGATCGCGCTAGTCTAGGCCATGGAGCGCTTCAACGATTCTACTTTCGGAGGTAAGACAACGGTGTATACCAACCACAAACCGCTTGTGTCAATAGCCAGGAAGCCGATGCACGTCGTTCCTCGTCGCTTTCAAGTTATGCTTATCCGACTTCAAAAATAAGACGTGGATATTGTGTATACACCTAGTACACAGATGTTCATCGCGGATACGCTGTCAAGAGCTCATCTGCCGGTACCCGAGCAAAATCCGGAAGAGGTCGAGGTAGTAAACTTAGTACAGCATCTAGCAGTGACAAAAGATCACCTTAAGGAACTAAGACGCCACACAGAGAAAGATGCAACGTTTTCAGCTTTGCGAGACTTTATTCTAAATGGGTAGCGAGGGACAAAAGGCAGCTGCCGAAGAAACTAACACCTTACTTCAATTTCCGGGATGAACTCTCTGTCTATCATGGTTTACTTTGCAAAGGAAGCCGTACTCATATTCTGTCATGGCTCAGATGAAAATGCCGAAATACGTTCATCGTGTTTACCTGTATGCCAACTACACCATTAACCGAGAAAAAGAATTGATCCTTTGGCCAGAAATGATGGGTCAAATAAGAGATCAAGTATCAAATTGTGAGGCGTGCCGCTCACACGAAATCCGTCTAACAAGGGAACCAATGATGCAGCATGATGTCCCTGACCAACAGTGGCAGAAGGTGGCGGTGGATTTATTCAGTAATAACGGGCAAGATTACTCACTCACAGCGGACTATTATAGTGATTATTTTGAAATCGATCTACTCACCACTACGACCACGGAGGCAGTAATCAACGGGCTCAGATGTCAGTCCGCGCTGCACGGTTGACCGGACAAGGGGCCCCAGTTTACCGGCGGTGCGTTCCAGGCCTTCGCAACCAAGTGGGAATTCCTGCACCAGCAAACCAACCCATATCACAGCCAATCGAATGGAGAGGCGGACTCAGCAGTGAAGCAGTCCAAGTGACTGTTATCAAAGGCTAGAGCAACTGGCGAGGACCCGTACCATTTGCTACTGGCGAAATGCAACACCCCTTCAAGGTAAGTCGGTTTGAGCCCAGTGCAGCTCTTATACAGCAGAAGGACTAGAATGCTGATACCGGCATCAGCCACACTTCTGCGCCTAGTTTCGCCACAGTACGAGCGGTTACAGAACAATATGAGACAACGAATATCCATTCAGAAATGGTACTGCGACTGCGGGACACGGGTATTACCTGAGCTAACAATGGGGGAGGAACTGTGGGTTCAACCATTACCCGATAGTCGAGGGAGTGGAAGAAAGATGTGGTGACTACGTGGGTCGGTGCCAGGTCATACGAAATAAAAGTTGGAGGGAAGACGTTCAGAAGAAATCGAGTGCATTTGAG